AAAAATCAACATTACATATTTGAAGGTTTATGCTAAAATGCTGAGCTGGACAATGCATTCTAGCAATGTTCTATTCCATTCTCCCCTTTCCCATGTTGAACCATTCTGATGATTGTAAAAATTGTACAGTTTTAGATGAACAATTCTGCCTTGGAGAGCTGGACTGTGTTCCAATTGTACAGCTTTTAAGGAAGTGCAGAGTTGACAAAGTTGTATTGTTTTGCTCTGCTAAGAACAACAACAACAAAATTGTGGATATTTTCCAAGCATTGGTTTTCTTGTCAGCATTTTCCAAGTGGTTGGGAACACCAAATTTTGACAACATTCAGGAAATTGTCAAATACTCATTTCATCCCTACATCCTATTATACTTATATGTATCAAATATAGATATGCACCCTAGCACTATCCGTTGTTGCTGCACAGATATTAAATGATATAAAACAGAAATTTAACCATATTTTTCCCTGCTGCTGGTTCTCTATTTCAATTCACAGCAATTATTGCATGAAATGTTAACCAAAAATGACTCTAATAGGGGAGGGAAGAAAAGGAAAAATCTATTTGTGAAGATTTCTTCTGAAGAAATGCAAAATTTAAAAAAAATCCATTAAGGAAAAGCTCGTGGCAATGCATGTTGAACTAAACCCTCAACAGGTTCCTATGTGCCTGCAGGCATAAAGAAAGGGGTTTTTTTAAGTGAAAGAGTCACACACAAGTTAGTTGGGTGAGAGAATTAATAATCATACTCTTGGCAGACTTTAATTGCATGTATAAATTAAACATCCATTTGTTCTGTTCTGTGTAAACTCACTGCACTCACCAAAAATAAATTGTGCTCTGTAGCTTTCCATTCTACTCCAATAGTACACAGGCAGAAAAAGCAAATGCCACTGTGTATAGAAGTCAGAGGATGCACTTAAAATGGAATGAGCTTTGTGTTTTCCATTGTGATCCCATCTCAATTGCCAAGATAAATTTTGTGAAGTTTATTGCTGGGTTGTAGAGAGCAGCATTAAAAGAGTGTTAACAAGCTGTCAGATCGCTTCCCACTGTCCTTATTACTGGATGCCAGGGTCCTAACAAAGTCCCAATTAAGCAAATTCTCAATGCCATTTAATAATACTACTGCTGTATCATAAACTTTCTTCTAAGTATATTCCAACTCATTTATCAGGAGGCTTCTATAACTGATGTTGTGATTCCACAGTACACAGAGGTTGTTACATGGGAACATACAAAGTACTATGGGGATACGCGTATAATTTCTTTGACTCCATGGCGTTCAGAATCATTGCAACAGTGGGAAGAGCATTTTTTTAAAAAAAAAAATGTGCCATACACTGAGACTACAGTTTTAAAAGGTTACTTTGGTGGCTATGGCCATCAGAATCTTTCAGCTTGCATAGCCCCTGGTCTTGTTGGCTGGAGTCATATTGCATTTGTAGTGCAAGAAAGTACATTTTCCAAGCTCTAGTCTCCTCTTTGATTAATAATCCCAACCTCTGCAACAACCCAAGAGTGGACTACAATAGCTTTAGCTGGATTTATGCCATCATAACTCACCAACAGGATACCAGGCAATGTTGGAAGAACCAGCAGAGGGTCAAATTTTGAGGAGGAGAACAGGAATAGCTGAAAGTGGGTAAAATAAGGAGCAGCTTGACCCAGGATGACCAGACATCCTCCTTTTCCAGAACTCATCCTATATTTCATCTTTCTGTACAGGAGGTATTCCAAAATGTCCTCCATTTTGAGGATGACTAAGAAGCATTAATTTATATTTATATTAGGTTTTTTGGCTTTTATTTGTTCACATGCTACATTTTTCTTGAATGCCCTACATTTTATAGTGCCTTGCCCTACTTTGCATTTAGGACATCTGGTCATCCTGATCTTGACTTCAGGTTTTTGGTGTTATGAAGTTAGCTGACAGCAAGGAAAGGACAGAACCAATCTCAGGGCAAAATAGCAGAACAAGGGAACGAGTCTCCAAAGTTAATTGGTCCCAGGCAAGTTCATGGTTTCTCAGAATTGCTACAGCAGCTCAAACAGTCCAGGGAGTCTCCAGGGGTTAGGAATTCCAAAGAAGCTATTAGAAGGGACAAAATCCTTGTTCATGTTGTATTGATCCCATGAACTCATTCCCATCTTCAAAGCAATGGAGACCTACTTGTGCAACCTGGATGGCAGAAGAAGACACTGTCAGCTTCTCAGTCTTCAAGGCCATTTGGGGTTTTCTCACTCCTCTGTCCCCCCAGTTATATTGTGAGATTATCTCCTGAATCATCTATGCTTCAAGAAATGTATTTGTGCAGAAGGTCTCCCTACACTCAAGCGGGTGCTGCTTGCAACGGCTGGCATCTCAATGCTTGTTTTTTCTGGCTGAGGTACCAGGCAATCATAAGATGTAATTATTCCAGACCTTGTCACAGATGGAATTCTCAGGTTCTCAGCCTTAAAACAGAATATATTATTCAAATTTTAATGCTAGCCTTCTGGAAGGAGCTCTCTGAATAGACTTGCTACAGAATTCAGTGGTGGGGAAAATATACACCAAAATTTAAGCTGAGGGTCTCATTTGTGACAGATCAATGGCCCAATCTCATGTTTCTGTGGGCTGTTCCAAAACTCATCCATGTTTTCAAGCCATACAAATATTGGGGTTATTTCACACATCATGTCACTCACACCATACCAGAGTTTGTCAGCAAAAGGATACACAGTGTTTTTTGTAAAGTACAGTGTTATAAAAGGTGTATTTTCCAGCACTCATTTGCCAGACATGGGTAAGAATCTTCTTGGTGACTTATGCTGCTGTAACCAGATATTACATGAGAGCCAGCATGGTGTAGTGGTTTGAGTGTCAGACTATGACTCTGGAGTCCAGAGTTTGAATCCTGGCTGGGCCATGGAAACCCACTGGGTGATCCTGGGCAAGTCACACTCTCTCAGCCTCAGATGATGGCAATGTCAAACCCCCTCTGATGAAACTTACTAAGACAACTCCATGATGGGTTCACCTTAAGGTCATCCTAAGTCAGAAATGACTTGAAGGCACAACACACACAAAAAGATATTACACAAGTGTAAGTTCTTTTTTTTTAACAGAAAGATTGGGTATATTTCTGTGCAGAATAATTCCCTAGAATACTTTCAGATGTGCAAATACTGCTTTAAAATCGTGCAGAAGTCTCACAACTGTGTTCTTCCTCAAAACAGTGTTTCTCATGTACCAGAGTAGGAAACTCTGCATATATCTACACTGCACTGTAGTGGTAACTGATACCACTTTAACTGCTGTGGCTCCATCACACAGAATCCTAGAAGTTATTGAGATCCTTTGAATTATCCACTGGAAATATCTAGTCCTCTTCCCTAAACAAAAGCACTTCTGTTCTCCAGAAGAGAATTATAAGGCCATCACTAAATTATAAATGCCAGCATTCTTTAGGATGAAGCCTTGATCATTATCCTATAATTACATAATAATGATGATAATAATAAATGTATAGTGCAGATTAAGGATTTAAATCATCAGTTATTTCATCATCTCATGCAAATGCAAATAATTAGACTAGTTTCTCCCAGCTGTAGGAAAAATGATTATTCCTCTCCCTGCATTTGAACATCATAGTGCTGAATTCAGAGAAATAGCCATGTCAGTCTGGAATATCAGTGTGCAAAGGGATCTTGTAGACCTTTGAGATTAACTGTGTGAAAGAAGCTGTAGCATAGGTTTTCATAGACTAGGTCTACTTCCTCAGTAGTCCTAGGAATGACTGAGGAATGACTACAAGCATGCCTTGGTTAACTAAGGGTCTGTCTATACTGTTAAAAATAGTGCAATTTGATACCATTTTAACTGCTATGGCTCCATCCTACAGAATCCTAAGATTTGTAGCTTTGTGAGGCACCAACATGCCTTGGCAGTGAAGGCTGAAGACCTTCTAAAACTACAAATCCCAGGATTCCATAGGATGGGCAGTACAGCACTTCAAGTGGTGTCAGGCCGATGCACCCATATTCTACAAAAATGTATGCTACAACTACTTTCACCCAGCTAGTCTCAAAGGTACTATAAGTTCCCTTTGCATCTTGAAGTATTGTGAAGGGCAGTTTGTTTGTGTTGCAAAGAAATACTCATAGGGTGGTTTTTCAAAAAGCAAAACCCATGTTTTCTGTCTGTTTCATGTGGCCAAAACTGTACACAGAAGATGTAGCTATATTGACGTAGCTACAATCTGTCTCCTAGTCTGACCCCTCAAAACCCACCTTCAAAGGAATTCTGTGGCACTGCAGCATTGTGCAAAAATTCTTCGGGGTCTTATGGTGACTACTTGTAGCACCAAGCTCACTGGCGAGAGGGAATTGGGTACATCATCCTTCAGTACCTGATTTCCCTGTGTTGCAGAATTCTTTTGGTAGGTGTGGCTGCCTGGCTTTTAAAGTGAGTTTTACAGCGCATTTGCAATCATAGCCTTGGTACCATGAACATAAATGTTAATAGCAAAATTTATGAGGTCATAAGTCTAGCTTATGACCTTGTAAATACTGAACAGGACACCAGCTAGGGTTAGCTGTCCAGAAAATTTGATGGGTTTTTTTGGGGGGGGGTCCACAAAAGGGCCACATAATTCCAGTGCAACACTTTGGGATATTAAACTACCCAGGAAAATTGCACAAAAATACTCACTGCTCTAATATTTTTCCTGACAGCGTTTTTGTGACTCTTAGGAAACCTGTTCTCCAGCCTGGAAATGAATAATTGTCAAAAAAATTTCTATCCAATGCCCAAATTCTGGAGAAATAGTGAGATGTAAGTGATAAATAAATGACTTCTTTAAAGTGTTATGTTCTAAAAATAGAGTAAGATAAACTGGGTGTAGTGAGCCAGACTCAATCTGAAGTGCTGTACCACTTCAAGGTTGTTGTTTTTCTTGGTCTGGTACACGTCTACTCTTAGATCTAGGCTAGGAGGGTACGAGTTTAAAGGATGAGGGTATCAATGAAAAGGAAAGTTTATCTTCCCCCCCCCCCCCCCCCCCCCCACATGCAGAACACAGCTTTAAAACCAGACCATACCCCTGCTTTATACATGAATGGATTAGACCATTGCTACTCAAAGTGATGGTCCATTGATTTGTGCCAATTCATGCACCATCACCTGCTGGTTCCTGGAGAGTTTCCAGAAAAGGAAGAAACAATGGTACCAGTCCCTGGCATGATGGAAAAAATAATATTGCCAGTTTCCCACATCAGATATCCTATGAACCACTTCCCTAGATGGTGCAACAAGTGGGAATACTGAGACTGATTCAAATGTGATCTTCAGTGATGTTGTCCACCGTGCTCTTGTTGTTTCCAGAGACCAAGACAAAAGAACACCACACTCAAGAAAGAGACACTTTGCCTTCTTCAAAGGATCAGCAAGTGCTAAATAGAACTAAATGGAGCTTTAGAGGTAGTCTGCCTCTATATCTGGGTAGCCACTGCTGGAGAGAGAATGATGGTCTAGTTGGACCCTTGATCAGGAATAGAAAAGAATCTGCTTACAATCTTAAACAGAGTAGACAGTGCTTCTCAAAGTTGTTGTCCATGAACTGATATGTATCCACAAGCAGCAACCACTGGTTCCTGGACAGTTTCTAGGAAAGAATAAGACAATTGTAGCCAATATGCAAAAATATGTTACTGATGCTGGCACATGGGGGAGGAAACCACAATTTGGGGAAAATTGTAGTTTCCCCCAAAACAAATAGCTCAGGAAGCAGTGGATTAGAACACCCTTTCTCAACCCAGTGCTCTCTGAATGTACTAGACTACAGTTCCCATCATCTCCCATCAACACATTTGGCACACTGTTAAAGAACACAGATGTGAACAGAAAGCATGGAAGCTCTAAAAAAAAGGATTAATCATTCTGTTGCAGTTCTTAAAGTTGATAGAACAGAGAAAATCAGGGAAGTAAAAGGACAGAGCCAGAGGGGTGGATGGCCATTTAATCCAGCCTTTCCTAACTTGGCATCTTTCAGATATGGCAGACTATGACTCCTATATTCCTTCCCATCATCTGGCTTCCTGGAACACAAAAAATACTGGTATGTGCAATACTGTTTGCATATAATCCCTACTTCTGCCCCTTGGCAAACCTCACTGATGGTGAGGGGAGGCCCTATAAATGAATGAGATGCATAGAGATGTGAGAGCAAATAGTCTGGCTTGAAAAAGAAGAGAGAAGTTGCAGGCATCCATTATCTTGGACAGTTTTCACTTTAGGGTCATGATGACTAATACTAGGAAACAGCTTCTGTAAGCATGCAAACAAAAAAAAAGACCACAAACCCATACCTTCTCCAGGAAGCCATAGGCCACTCAGCAAAACTGGTTGCCAAATTCTAGGAAGGAAACTGTCTCCCACTTCTGCCACTCAGTCATGGTCTGATGCTTAGCTTCCAGCCTCTTTGCAACAGAGCAAAGCACCTTATGGGCACAATCCAGCTCAATAGAAGGAAATGGGCTTAACCAGATTTAGCTCTCCTTTGGATTGTGCTCACAGTTTAGATAATGATGTACCTAGTATATTTGACATCCAATGCGGATCATTTTTAAATACAGATTGCCCACCCCTGTGCTAGAAGCATTGCACGAATGGAGCAAAAGCCAATCAATCCATGGCATTAAGTTTCTTTCGAGGTGCTATCAGAGGCTCATACTGAACTTATGTAGATCATGCAAGAGACTGTTCTCTACAACATTACTCCTGCCCCCTAACCACATGGGCACATGCATATACTCAGGCATGCACACACTCATTTCTATCCTTGCAGGGATTTTACCCCTTCCTGTGGAGTGCCAGGTGGGAGCCTGTCTTGCAAACGTATTCATTAGGACCTTTGAAAAATGGACCTTATCAGCAGTGGTGCCAGAGGCTGGCTAGGAAAAGCTGGCAGAGGAGCCAGACCCAGGACAACAAAGAATGGGGAGAGGAACTGAGCATGCTTTTGTGGAGTGGCTTCATTCACGGAGGCAAAGTAGGAGGGCTGATGCCTCAGTCCTTTCAGCCACTTGCCACCTTTGTTCAGATAAGGCACCAGGTTGGCTTTCACCTTCCTGCATTTAATTGGCATTAAAGATTAAAGAGCAGATTACCAAAAGCAATCACAAAGAATCCACTTGTCTATATTTCACAACAGCTCGCAAGCAGTTTGATATTAACTGTCAGCTGGCATTTAATTACGGTGCCAGATTCAGAGGATATAATTGACAGAGCGCTGAAGACTAATTCTCGAAAAGGGAGGCTTTTTTGCCATGCAACATTGTGCTGGCTAATTGAAGCAAACTTTCCCTCTTGCACATGCAAAGCAAGAAGATTTGTTCGGCTCCTTCTCGCAGCCTCAGTTCCTTCCCATTTTCTCCTGTCTTCAGAACTACAAATTATTGGATTTGGAGTACAGCAAAGGTAAAGCAGCATTGGTCCTCTGGGTCCTTAGTGCTGATCTTTGAGGTCCCCACATAGTTTAGGCCCATCAAATCCTCAGTCCCAAGCAAAGTAGAACGTGCTCTTCAATATTTCACAGATGAAAGCCAGTACACAGGTGACCAAACATCAGAGTATGCTCAATATGACAAAAGTTATTCAGGAGGAAAAACAGACAAACTAGGAGAGGCTGCAGCAGTTTGCTTTGGCCTAAGCATCCTTGAAAGAGCAAGAATTCATTCTTTCTCTGATGATGATGATGATGATGATGATGATGACGACGACGACAACGACGACGACGACGATGATGATGATATCCCACCATCCTCCCAGTACAGGGACTCAAGGCAGCTACTCTCTACTCTGCTCCGGCTTTGCTGAGTTAATTGAGTGCTACTTGGCACTCAATTTTGCAGCAACTGAAGGAGGTT